GTCGTATATAGCCGTTGGGGATGTTTTGGAGCCGTTTGGAGATGAGAATCCATTAACAAAACAGCTTGGAGCGTGGGGGGAATCGGTACCCCCTCATAGGGAATCGGTTCCCTAAGTACAATCTGATTTCGACCGTTAGACAGGGGGAATCGGTACCCCCTGGGGGGAATTTGTACCCCCTGGACATTTTGTTTTCTCGGAGCCAAAAACATACAGGGGGAATCTGTACCTTGGGGGGGGATATGTACCCCCTGGATAATCTGATTTTTCTTGGCTTTGAAACGGTTTGAAATACTTTGTAAAATTATTTTAAAAATAGTTTAAGTATAAAACACAATTTTACACTTTAGTAAGGATTAAAATGAACTTTGAAAGACTTGGAGTAATATTTTGATATTCGAATAATTACATCGAATATACTTAGAAAATCTTTTGTAAAATCTTAAAATTCATTTAACTTAATTTGTTATATCGAAACATCAAAATGTTTTCAACAAGTAGGATATAGGTCTAAAATCTTTGACTTTATTAGGATTAGGCACCTTTGGCACAAGGACAATAGCTACAACATTAAAAGCAGGAAGAATAAAGGATATGTCAAAATAATACCTAATGGAAGATTTGAAATCCTCACCAACAATGGGTCAAACTTTCTTGAAGAAGTAAGGGTTATAGTCATCAGGTCCAGGGGATTTATCATTACCTTGCCCCCAAATGGCTTCTTTTATCTCCACATCAGACACATCCCTGCATAAATCATTAGCAACACCCAAAGGAAGAGAATAATCAAGAAGATCCTTAATTGTTGCAACATTGCTGCCCTTGACATTCGTGTCAATCACCCCCAATTGATTTTGAAAAACATTAACCACCTCATTGGACATATCTTCAAAAGTGTCCAGTCTAGCTCTAGATTGATCATAGAGGACCCTGCTTATGATGCTTTTCCTCCTGCTAGCCATCATCAAGTGGAAGAAACGAGTCCCTTGATCTCTTTCTTTAATCCAATTGACTTTAGATTTTTTCTTGTAGAAAAGCAGCTCAGCCTCTTCAATATTTTTCAGCTCCTTTTTAACTTGCAATTCAGAATTAACATTGCTGCCAGCAGAGTCAGAATTTAAGTTTGCAAGCTAAATACTCAAAAATTCCTCTCTCTTTTGCTTCACCTGGTTTGAGATGTCATTAGAACAAGCTCTATTGAGATTCTTAAGAGAACATTTCAACCTTTTAAGCTTTTGAAAAAGAATCTGAGCTGGGTTTCCTACAATCGGGAGCTACCAAGACTTTTTGAAAATGGCCAAAAATTCAGGATGCAATGCCCAAAATTTAAAAAATTTGAATGGTTTAGGTCTAGCTACAGGGGTAACCTTGTGTAGCCAAACCAAAGCTGGGCAATGGTCTGAGTCACCAGGGGTATGGAATTCCACATCTGAGTTAGGAAATATTTCAATCTAGATTGAGTTCACTAGCATACGTCTAATTTGCGGGCCAGGTAAGTATCTTGCTGCTTATTCGACCAAGTAAACAGAGGTCCAGAAAAAGGATGGTCGAAAATCCCCAACTCCTCTACACAGTTTCAAAAATCAGAAATATCTACAATAGTTGTTGCATTAACATAAACCAAGCTTGAAATCACCTCCTATCAGCCAAGGCATATTCCCTGCAGTACATCCCAATAAGTTCAATTGATTCCACAGCTGCCTTCGATCATTGCCATCGTTTGAACCATATACTGCAGTTATGCAAAAACTTTTTCCTCCAAATGCACCTTTAATATAAATGCTTTGATCAAACACAGAAAAGACATAACAACTCAAATTTCTATGCCAAATCACCCAGATACATCCATTAATAGCGTGACTGTAATTACAACAATATTTTCAATCACTAAATCCCTGATTCAAAATATTCACAGAATTTCTGTCTTTACCTCTTGTTTCAAGCAGGCATAAAACACTTATTTGGCAATTAACAACCCATCTCAACACTTTCTTTTGCTTATGAGGATTATTTAATCCTCTTATGTTCCAAAAACATACTAACATGAGATAATGGAGGAGGAGGAAGTACTACCTCTGTCCTCCACTTTATTAACTTTATCAACATGCTCCTTCTTCTTTAACTTTAAGTCATGTACAATTTTTTCCACTCCAAAAGAAACAACTCTCTGCTTCTTACCAGAGTCCTCAACAGGCAATAAGCTTTCAGGATTAATAGAATTAAGGACCTCGAATTTATTCCTAGATCCTCCCATAGTAGCTTTACTCTCTTTAGCTGGCCTACCTCATCCTCTCTTAATTAGAGGATTGCTTCCATGCTCAGAGTTTGATATCCCCTCATGAGCAATCTGGTTTTTCCCCTTGTAACCTCTTTACCAGAACCAATTCGAGCTCTATCAGGGCAAATCTCATCAACCACTTCTTCATTGCTAATAACAATCTGATCAGTAGGGATATTACCATCAATAGCATTTCCAATATTCTTTTCTTACTTGCAGCTTCACTACTATTGCCAATATTATTCTACTTTACCTCTTGCACAACACCTTTTACCCTCTATACTTGTTCACCTTTTTCCCTTGAGGGCAGTATTTCACAGAATAACCAAATCTACTACACTCAACACAAGAAACAGGTCTCCAAGGTACAATGACCTTAATCCGAGCTACTGACTCATCACACAATAACACATCAACATAGTCTGGAATCTTTGAATCTATAGCAATCTCAATACACACTCTAGCATACTCAAGTCTCTCCCTAAAAGCTGTAATAGAGTCCATGTGTAGAGGCTTACCAATTGCAGTTGTGATGTAACTAAGTCCCTTCTTTGAAAATAGCTCCAATGGAACATTGTACAATTAGATCCAGATTGGCATTCGATTCAAATCGAAGTGTAGCTCCTTCAAGTTTGGTTCCCATTTTCTGAGGAAGATAGGCTTATGCTGGACATGCCAAGGACCATTCTCTGAAACCCTGTCCCTAGCAGAAGAATTGACAAAAGAAAAACAAACAAATTCGGTTCAGCCATACTCACCTTCGCCAGAGCAGCTTTACCCCACATCAATTCGACTATCTTTTGCAATGATCCAAAATTCGGAGTTGAGCCGATGAATTACCCAACCAGAGCATATCTCCACTCCAGAATCCCTTCCACAAACACATATTTCGAAGGCTTTACAACATACGAACCCTTAACCTCCATCAGGGAAAGAAATCTAATTTATGGTCATTCCCCACAGTGAATAGTTTCCTCAAATCTGCAACTGCTTCAGCAGACATAGCCTAGCAGAACCACCCAAAAAACAACCAGTATCAGTAAGAAAGAATTAACTAATCAAGAAAGGGATGGTCTCGTCTTCAATCGTTGTTAGTCCTGCTAACATGCACCGAGAGATAAGGCTTAACGTGCGCCATCCGTGATCCATTACTTGTATTTTAATATTTGTATTTTAATATAATTAATTTTTTAAATTTTATACTTTTCAAAATTTAAATCTTAATATTAATTAAATAATACATAAATAATAATTAAATCACATTACTTGAATTTATCAAATTAAAGAACATAAATTAAATTTACAGATAACGTATAATATATTAATTACTTAATTAATTACAGAAAATTTTCATTTACCAAATTTTACAGATACTCTCTAAACTAAGATTGAAATTGTAAAAATAAAAAAAATATGAAGCTAAAACTATAATTTATTAATAGTATAATAACTATTTATAAAATTTCACCGGTAAATATACTCTTTTTTTCTTTCAGATTTGACCTTGACGTTAGACGCATTAATTAGTCAAGGAAACCGATTTGGTTCTCACCTGTCAACTTTATTAATAAATGATATTTTCACAAAATCAAAGCTATCACAGCTGCTGCCTATTATTGAATAACGAAGTGAGTTTGATTTTGCCTTTTCTATCTTTTTCTTTTCGAACTAATCGAGCTCATATAAAGTATACGTTCAATTCATTTTAGTTTATAAATAACTATTTACAATTCTTTTATTGTTCATTTACGATTATACTTGTTTAAGGGCAACTATACAAATAGTCTTTAAATTATGTCTCTGTTGATTTAAATTACTTAAAAGTATATTTAATTAAGAATTATCATCTTATAGTTATATCAAATTTAAAATTTTAATTTTTTATATAAAATTATATAATCATTTTAAAATTTTGAAATTTTTTATTTTGTTAGTTAATATTATATTAAATAAATTAATATAGAATATAAGCCCAACATATGATTAATAATTGCTATGTTGTGTTTTTAAAAAAATACGAGGTAATTATAACTTATTATTTATTTATAACTTCTTTTAGCACAATGTGTAAATATCCCATAGACGACGTATTTAAAAAATACGAGATATTTATAACATATTATTTATTCAAAACTTCTTTTAGCTATTGATAATGTGTACACACCCCATAGATGATGTAATTGTATAAAAATCTCAAATAAAAATAACACTTTCTTTTATTGTTTAAACTACTTGATAAGGTCATTAATAATTAATATAGAAAATTAAACAAATGATAAAGATACCCATCATACTTTCTAATAAATGAAATACACAAATTATTATCAACAAATTGAATCAGTTGGTAAATAATTTGATGTTTTAGGTTTGTGTAAACAAAATTATTTTTATTAAGAGACTCACTTGTCAAAATCATGTGTACGAAATATATTTTGAAACAAAAAAATACAAAAGCTATTAACGGCATGTATTTCTACAAATTCCACAATAAATTTTACTTGTATATATCTATAAATTGTTATAGATTGATGGTTTCTTTTTCTGAAATTAATCACTAAATGAGAAATTCATAAGGGCCAAAATAATGATTCACTGGTTCATTTTTTAAAAGATTATAAATGTTAACCGACTTCAATTTATAATGAAAGCAATAACATAATCGATCATCAATTAATAACATAAACAGTAACATTTACGATTAACATCAAAGTATACAAGAGAAAAGAAGAAGCATATTTGGATATTTCTTCTGGTTTGCCAATCCGAAACGGTTCCGACGTTATATTTCGTAACGTCCCAAAACGCACACAGAATCGAAACGACGTGGTGGTGGTCATGAAAGGGTGCGTTTGCCGGGCCGATCAGCGGCCTTCAAGGTGTTGTCGATGAGCTTCCTGGCCTTTCTGCTGCGAATCTCAACCTTAACGCTGGAGCTCTTATCCATCTTAATGTAGGGCTTATTCTTTGACTTCTTTAGAGCCCTTACCTTTGACTTTATTAATTCCACCAAGCTCTCCAACTGGTTCGCCATTTTCGATCAACCCCCCAAAATAAAGCTAAAAAAATGAAGATTTTGTTACAGTTTTTGCATCTTTGCTTTTGGTTGGGAGTGCTACTGCGTTTGATAATCTGCTCCCTTTTTTTTCTAAGCTTCTGATTTGTTCAACTTAATTAGTGTTGCGGGTTTTTATGATGATCTTTGTAGATAAATGGGCTTGTTGGCGAATACAATTACCAATTTGCCATTAGCTCTATGTTTCTTACTAACCTTTTTTGTAAGTTAATTATTAGTATGATTGCAATAGAGTCATTCAATTTTTAAAAGTCATAAACAAATCACTTAAGTAATTGATTGCTACAAATAAGACATTAGATCATTAAATATCAGACGACTTTATGGAGTGGATTATTGCATTCACTAAAAATTTAAATTTTGTAGAGTTATAATTAAGTTATTCAATTAACTGATTATGTGCTATAGTACTAGTCGTTGTTAATCTTCATAGAAAGTGATCAATAAACCCTAAATTTATCATTTGTCCATGTTTAGTTTGTTTGATTAGATGTTAAAAGATATCACCCAAAGACCATGAAATCAACTCAAGATTTTCAACCTTGTTAAACCTTGATCTATGTTATTCGCCTTCAGTTTGTCTCCATCTCAAAATATTTCTTATTTGTCACAAACGACAACCTCCCCACCATACTACTTATACTATAATTACTAAAATCAAAATAGACCAAGTCTACCACCTAAATAAAGTATAAGGACTTTACCTAAATTTAACCAGAAAACTAATATATGTTTGCCCTGAGCAGCGGCAGCAGGCGGTGAATTTCGTCACCCGATTAGTGAATTGTGTTGGTTACGTAACTTCACTTTTTATGTAAATAAAATAATTTCATATTCTCATTTGGATGAAATTCATGATATACGTTTCCACAAAATTCTAAACAACTAAAACTATTACTTTTATAGTCAAAATTTTATATTTTACAAAAAAAATATATATATAATTCGCAGAACTGAAAATATCTCGACTGGTGGAGGTGGTGTCAATGATTATGAAATTGAGTCGGTATAAAATGCGTGTAATTAAAGATAAACACAAAATTTTATATTAAAAGGACAAATATTAATAAGAAGATTAAATGAAAAACAACTTTGCATATAGAGGTAGAAATTCAAACGACCATAAACTTATAAGTATAATATAACTTGAATCATTTTTATTTTATGAGATATCATATGATTGACTGTATGATGAATTGACGGATGACATTTATAAATTTCTCTAAAAAGAATCAACCCTTAACAGTTTGTTATTTATAGGATAAAGAATTAATTAATCACACGGCTTCTTATTTTCATTGTTTGAATTGTGAAGCCTGGACGTTAACAACTGAAAATATGAGATCCATAGGTAGGGTGAATGAAAAGTTCGAATATTGACTTTAATGCCAGTGCTCAATTCATGTAGCAAGGAATAGTAGGATCACGAAAGGAAATTCATTGACTATTGAGAGATTACGAATCTTTTACTTTTTCTCAGTCCACACTTTTGTAAGTTCATATTAATTAATTCATCAATGGGCATGGATTATGATTTTTTTAATGCCATATTTGTTACTACTACTATTATTATTAGTGTAAACTACGTGTTTAGATTTTATTTTATTTTAGAGCCCTGCTCAAATTTAACATTAAAGAAAAATTTAAAATTTAGATACTAAAACAAATCAAAATTGATAGTTTAGATATTAAACTCGTTAAGTTTTTAACAATGAAGTACTAAACGAAACAAAAACTAAACAATATGTATGATTTTAAAAAAAATTAGAAGTTTACGTATGGACCAAAACTGATAGTTTAGTTACTAAATAGATAGCTTATTATCCTTATTACTATTATTATAACCACTCTAGTTGAAGTCGAATATGAAATCGATCGAAAGGTTTAAATTGAATATTTTTAATTTTTAATTTTATAAAAAGGATAAATGTTATCAAGAAAAATAGGAAAAAGCAGGCATTCATGTTTGATATTTATTGGTTAATTGATAATAGAAGTCAATCCTTTTAATTCCTCGTCGTTTAAGATTCCAACGGAATTAAAAGGATTTCAATTTCCAATATGAAGTAATGGTAAGTATCCTTGGAATATTTTTTAATAATTTTAAATAAATTTTTAAAAATTATATTGAATTTCAAATTTTATTTTTTTAAATTATAAATATATTTTTAAATTATATTTAAATTTACTAAAAAAAATTAAATAATTGAATCACATCCACATTACTTAAGAAAAAAAAATTGATTTCGCTTTCAGATAATTGAAATGTTTAAATCTCGAAAATTATATATTATAAGTTTTACATGTTTAATCATAACAAAATTACAGTATCTATTTTATAAAAAAAATTAAAGTTTAATATTAATCATATAACGTTTGAAAGTTTAATATCTAAAATATTATTTTAGCATAATTTAGTGACTTCAAAAAATTTACCCTATAAAATTAGTGGATTAATCATGGATTGATTCCTGAATTCTTTAATATTACTTAATAAGGACAATTTAATTAATAATGTATTTCAATATTGCGTTAGTAGTATATTTCGATATGCAAGGTACATTATAGAATCAATATCATTCCACTAATAACTTTATTCCACTTCAAATTTTTCTTAACATTTTTTATCTTCATATGCAAGGGATCTATTATTCAAACAAAATAAATTTATCTAACATAATAGAACACTTTGAATAGCCTATCCTAAAAACCTTAAACCTTAAAATAGAAATTCTTACCTTAATATACAAAGATTCTATGATATTTAAACAACATAAATTCATCTTTAAACCTAAATCTCTAACCCTAAATCATTATTCTCTAATACAATAAAACATCTTAAACACTTCTATTCTAAATAAATCACAAAATAAAACCCTAAAAATAAAAAAATTAAACAACCATTTAAAACCCTTAACCCAAAATCATAAAACCACCGAGCATAAAATCTTACACGATGACTTAAATAGAAAATAAAAATGATAAAATGCAAGAAATCGTATTTTTTTCGGATTGATTATGTCACGTAAAATAAAAACGAATCATATACCATAAAACCACCGAGCATAAAATCTTACACCGATGACTTAAATAGAAAATAAAAAAAATGATAAAATGCAAGAAATCATAATTTTTTTTTCTAATTAATTATGTCACATAAAATAAAAACGTATCATATAGATCACGTTTTATTAAATATTTTGATAAAACATATATCGATCCTATATTATATAAAATATGTCATTTTCATAAATAATCTTTGAAAGATTTTATAATCATAAATAAAAAATTGTTATATTCAGATAATAAAGCCAAAATGTTGTCTACCCATAATTTAATTACTTGTTGCCTTAATCTTGAAACCCGTTGACAGCTACTATTCGATAATTTAGGGCTAACAGTCAATGCTAGACGAATTATATAAGGTCATCTTGAAGGTTATGGTTCAAAATTATGACATTCTATGGCCAAGCTCATCTCACCCAGCGAGCACAACTGTATACTGAGAAAGCAGATTACGGATAATGCAATTAAAAGGATGGTTGTACTCTATAGAAATCTTCAAGGGGAGGGTTGGATGCTTGGATCTATGGTTTTGAAGTTCGGCATAGAATTAATTATACCAAAATAAGGTTCAAACCTTCTGGCGATGATGCACGGTAAGTGTTAACTAAAATGACACAATCAAGTTACTTAGTAGCCTAGCATATCAGAATTCAAAGAATAACATATAGAAAATCATTTAGAAAACATCAATCCCTTGCTTAATTCCACCGCCAACGAAGAAAACATGGTATTTAAACAATGATTAAGCACATTTCTTTTCAACTTTAACAAAACCAAATCACAAAACCCAACGAATGGGACTTGTATGCTAGCAACAATGGCGTTTCGTTTTACTAAAACAACCCATCCTTGTTTTAAACCTCTGCATCATCCTTCCCGATGTCAAAGCCATCCCCTTGGAACGCATTTCCCAATTCACAAACCATCTCCCACACCTTCTCCGACACCGGCAAGACCGACAACCTTGACCGCATAAACATGACAAACCCTTTCAGTTCCCCATCCTGTTTGATGTCCTTTAAGTACACTTGCTTCCTCGTCTCTTCAACCGCTTTCACTGTTAAAATCAATTAACATATAAGGATCTTGATAGGGTAATTAAATCAACCAAATCAAGCTCATGACATAATTACTAAAAATTACTGTAAACGAAATGAAAACTTGATGATTACATTATGATAGTTGAATATCCCAAAAGCAAGAAATAATAAATGTAATGTGATCCCAATACTGTATAATCCTCAATTCTTCTTGTGATGATATCAAAACTTGTTTGATTCTTAATGAAAGAATCAGAACCCAAAACAGAGAGTGTTCTTGTTTTCTTTTTAAGAGATAAAAGAGAGAGCCTTGAGGGAAAAAATATCAGTTATATGAGTTTTTTTTTAATAAAAAAACTCATTCCACTATGTTTTTTAAATAACAAAATAACCAAAAGCCCAAAATAACTAAAAGGCCGCTCTATTTTTCAGTTACACATAACACCACTCAAACATATATTTTTTCTGTATGGGACAAAGAGATTTACACCCGATAATTGCTTCCTCAATACTATACTAATCATCACCGTGTGTACAACAACAACAATTATCAATTACTTAAATTGTATGAATCAATATTAGAAATCAAAATTTCTAACATTCTCACACTTTTATCTCGATAATGTTTTTATGGATTGACACAATTAGTTAATGGTCTTTATATTTTAGATCAAGAAAACACCATGTATAACATAAATACTAAAAGATCAAAAACAAATGACTCAAATCAAACTTATCTTTGGCATTTTCGTTTAGGCCATGCAAGTGAGAAACACATATCAAAGTTCCATAAAGATGGTTTTTTAGATTCATTTGTTTTCGAACAATTAGATGTATGTGAAACTTGCTTATTAGAAAAAATGACTAAGAGTCCTTTTAATAATAAAGGTGAACGAGCAAGTGGTTTATAGGGATTATACATAGTAACGTATGTGGGCCAATGAATACAAAAGCCAAAAGTGGATTCCAATAATTCATTACTTTCATTAATGACTTAACTCAGTAGGGTATATTTACCTTCTGCGCCATAAATCTGAAGATCTTGAAAAGTTTAAGGAATTCAAAAATGAAGTATAAAATCAAATAGGCAAGAGTATTAAGGTGCTTTAATCAGATCAAGGTGGAGAATACTTAAGCATAATACTTAAGGAGTTTCTGGGGATATGCACTTGAAACAATTACTTTCACACTAAATCATGTTCCATCTAAATCTGTTCAAAAGACATCGTATGAGATATGGATCGAGAAACATCCTAGTATGTCTTTTATGAAGATTTGGGGTTGTGAAGAATATGCCAAACATTAGATGTCTACAAAGCTTGAACCCAAATCTCATAAGTGTATTTTTGTTGGATATCCTAAAGAAACTAAGAGATATTATTTCTTTAACCCTAAAGAGAATAAAGTGTTTGTTGCTTAAATAAGAGTTTTTCTCGAAAGAGAGTTTATCTCAAAGAAATGAAATGGTGGAAATATTGAACTTGGATAAGTTCAAGAACAACAGTTCATTGAACCTGAGGTTGAGCATGTTCCACTAATTGTTGAGGAACAATCAATAGATTTAGAGACACAACCACTACGTAGATCCACAAGAGAACACCATGTGCCTAGGAGATATGGATTTCTCGTTACCACATATGGAGACATTCTTTTTATAGATCAAGATGAGCTTAGAACTTATCAAGAGGCAATGTCGAGCCCAAACTCTGAGAAATGTCTTGAAGCCATGAGATCTGAGATGGATTCCATGTCAGTAAACCAAGTATGAATTTTGTTGAACCACCTGAAAGGGTCAACCTATAGGGTGTAAATGGATTTTTAAGAAGAAAACGATATGAATAACGTACAAACATACAAGAGGAAATTAGTCACTAAAGGTTTTCAACAAGTTCATGGTATATACTATGACGACACCTTTTCCCCTGTTACTATGTTTAAATCCATCCAGATTTGCTTGCAATAGTTGCATTCCATGATTATGAAATCTGGAAAATGGACGTCAAAACCAGCTTCCTTAATGGAAATTTTAAAAAGGATGTGATATAACACAAGTAGAAGGTTTTGTCGCTCCAAGAAATCCTGGAAAGGTTTACAAGCTACAAAGTTCTATTTATGGACTAAAAAAGCTTCTGGTAGCTGGAATCTTCATTTCAATGATGCAATCAAAAGTTTTTTTTTATCATAAATGAAGATGGGTCTTGTGTTTATAAGAAGGCTAGTGGGAGCATTGTTATTTCCTAATCTTGTATGTAGACGACATGCTCATCATCGGAAATGATATACTATTTTATAGTCTATAAGACTCGGTTGGGTAGTTTTTTCTATAAAGATTTGTGCGAGACATCATATATCATAGTAAGATCTACAGAGATAGATCTAGATGACTTCTAGGTATTTGTCAAGTACATATATTGACAAAGTGTTGAAAAGGTTCAGTATGGAAGAATCCAAGAAAGGATCCTTGCATATGAGACATGGTATTTCTCTTTTAAAGGAAATTTCTCATTCGACACCACAAGAAAGATAACGAATAAGAAAATTCCATATGCTTTGGTATCATGTATGCCATGATATGTACTCGACCAGATTATCATATGCTTTAAGCATGAGGAATTAGTATCAAGAAATCCTGGTGAAAAACACTAGGTTACAGTTAAGAATATCCTTAAGTACTTAAGAAAAACTAAGGATGCTTTTCTTGTCTATGGAGGCGAAGAAGAGCTTAGTGTAAAAGGTTATACTGATGTTAGCTTCCAAATTGACAATGATGACTCAAAATCATAATCAGGTTTTTTGTTTTGTCTTAACGGAGGTGTTGTGAACTGGAAAAGTTCAAAGCAAGACACAATAGCTGACTCTACAATAGAGCCTGAGTATATTGCAACCAGTGAAGCAACAAAAGAGATTGTTTGAATCAAGAAGTTCATATCAGAACTAGGGTTGTTCCTAACATGTCAGATATTGTATAACTTCGTTAAGATAACAATGGAGTCATTTCACAAGCAAAGGAACCCATATCTCATGAACAGTCCAAACATATTCTTAGGTGCTTCCAACTCATTTGAGAGATCATAGATTGAGGAGATATAGAAATATACAGAGTACACATAGATGAAAACATTGATGATCCTTTAACAATGCGTTTTACACGGCAGAAACATGATTGTCACACTGAGTCACTCGGTATTAGATATGTGAGTGATTGGTCTTAGTGCTAGTGGAAGATTGTTAGAGTATGCCCAAAGACCAATCATATGATGATTGTAATGATACATTTTATTTACTGATTTTATAGTAAAGACATTAACACTAATATTTTCAATAATATATATATATATATATATATATATATATATATATATATATTGTGTGTGTGTGTGCGTGTTTAACATAAACTGAAAGATAATAAAGTCCATATATTAATGTAATTATTATTATTAAAAGATCCTTAGTCAAGTATTATTATGGGCATGGACAATAATATACACTTAAGACTAACATGTTATTGATTGATGACAATGTTGTCATTGACATAAATATGTAATTGATACGTGATTATATTGTTAGAGAACAATGTATTGGATTGACCCACTATGAGCATATGTCTTGGATTATTATGTAACGGTCACAACATTACTAATGGTGATTATATATGTATGATCCTCAGAATTAAGATCATTACTATCTCAACATATATTGTTGTATGTTTTGATACAATTAAACATGCTTGTAACATGTTGCACTATAAAGATTGTTATTTAATATATCTTGATATATGTAGTGGGGTGTATAAGATTAAGATAAATTTTCTTTCCTACATAATAGGAAATATATCACATGCCACTTGATTGAGTGAGACTAGAAATGCATGGCCATGCTCAAATAAGTTGATATGAGATATCACAAATTATTCGTTAATTATAGTACTATAGATATCAAGAAACAATAGATGGGCTATACAAGTGTGAATATTCCAAGACTTGTGCCTATTCTAGATATAAAGAACAAAAGGATGTAATACATAAAAGAGTTAAACATAAAGATGATATGTCGAATCATAATTTCTTGTAACTTAGATGACAATGATATTGCTAAATGTCACTCATTGTTTGTTATTAGAATTGTTTTAATAATTACTACTAAAGTTACAAGAACCTACAGGGTCATACCCTAGAGTTGAAATGAGCAGAGATGTACAATTTGTTGTACGTTACTAAAATATATCTAGAGTTAATATGTGTATATTTGATATACATATGATTTTAATTATCCCAATATAGTAAAAAACAATAAAAAAATGTAATTTTGATCACAACGCTTTTAATGGATATTTAATTTGGAATAACTAATAAGAGTTTAAAAAACATTAAAGAGTGTAATTCAGATTATAAGTCTTTAATTGATATTTAATTTGAATTAATTAAATAAGAGTTTAATTAATTCAAATAAAAAAACACTAATATGTTAGGGTAACTCAGATATTTAAAGATAAGTGAGATCTAGCAGTCGCACTTAATCTTCAGCCATTTTCTCAAAACGTTTTTGGAAAAAGTTAAATTTTGCTCTCAACCGGTGAACTGAGTATAGGCTGAGACATTTTTTGTGGAGGTTATGATTCAAACCATTCGTGATCATCAATAGTCACTGCTGTCTTTGTTGATTTTACAATGAACCTAATGTAAGTAATCACATCCCTTCTTTCCGGTTTCAGATTTAACGTACTTTAATCGCTGGTGAGACTGTCGCACTTTGTTTCCGCTGCGCCATGGGGTGCATCAATGGTCCAAGTTCTGCTCATTAAACTTGATACTATTGGCAGTCATATTTGACATAGTAGAGACCACTGCAAAATTTACATCTTACATATTAATTGCTTTGAATTTGAACCACAATTCATACTATAACATATACCAAAACATTACATTTAAATTCACATTTGGGATAAATCTATACACACCAACAATCATCAACATGCATTATTATAACATATATAAGGTCATCATTAAGTTAACTTTAACATACAAGTCATCTTTGGATGTAACTATATATTAATTAAACAAAGTTCATAACCTTTTCAATTGTTATTAACCATGAGTAAGATCTACATGTTAATAACTATAAATGTTTATTATTCTTAAATGTCATTTATGATGTTACATTAAATAAACATTTATAAACAATATAAATCATTTAATGAATTTCGAGTGGGCCACTTTGGTGACTAACGCATTCACTAAATATTAAATTTAAATCATGATCCAAAATTGTTTAATGTGATCCTACACTTGCCACGACATGTCATTAAGTCTACTTGACCTGGCAACTTCACTTGCCATGATAACCTCATTAACTCTACTTGCCACAACAACGTCATTAACCATCAAATGGGATCATATCATTGTTTCTTATCATTAACAATCATCTAACATAAATCATAATTATATTCATTTGCAACTTTAATTAATCTTCAATAAGAAAATACCCAAATTTCTTATGAAAACTTTGATAACTCTGTAAAAAAACTATATTTTAGGTATTTTTACTCAAGTTATTGATTTCTAAAAACCATTAACATAGCTTTTAGTTGCATTTCAAACATTTCAACATGTGGTGGATACTTTTACCTCGACAAAGTTTATTTGATTAAATTGATCCTGCTGATGGGAATGTTGTGTGTTAGCTGTGATGATGCAAGTGATAGGAAACGACTGAGGAAAAATTTATTTTCTGAGACAAATTATGTACCAAGGCCAAAGCAACTGGAGCCGATGACCGTGAGGAATAACTTCTGTCGTGGCAATTTGTATCATGCAAACCTGACGCAGTACGAGATAAAATTGCTGACGTCGCGTGCCCAACTGTCCAATGCACCTTACGTGAATCTTGTCCTGCTAAGGATTTAGGACCACTGCCAGCTGCCATTTTATTCACACAATGAGTATACATTTAGGGGTAGTTGGGGAAATTTCAAGGACACTAAACACTAGAAATTTCCCACTATAAATAGGACATGATGCCCACCATTTGAGACACTCTCTACCACATACCCAAAAAGGTTGGATAAAGGAGGTCGCAGTGTCCTCTTTTCCACCGTCCCCGTCTTATCTGTCCTTGGTTCCCTCTATAGTCATGTTTCATCGGAGCAACGACTAGGCCCTTGAGAGAGGCTAGCGTGCTAGAGTAGTCTTGGTGGTAGTCTGACGTCATAACAAAACTCTGTTCTGGGAGTTTTTCTTCTCCTTGTTCTTCATTTCTTATTTTTTTAAAGACTTGTACTTAACGAATTTTTTTGATGTGTTAGCCACACCCTAAACTATTTTATTTAGTGTTGAAAATGCTTGAATGATATTTTATTTTACGGTTAATGGATGATTAAGTATGTTTTGTTAAATGTTGTTTTGTTCATTGTTTTAATCTTTTGCCTTAGCACTAAGAGCTCTTGAAAGATTGCCTAGTGCCTTGGCAAAATATTCCTAGTCATTGTAAGCGCTTTTAAAAGATAACCATTTTTCTAGGAGTTGATACCTAATATCAAGAAGGTAGGTTAGATCTACGTGAACAAGGGAACTAATCCATGATGGTGAGGTTCTAATCTGCCTTAGAGATAAGGAGAGGGTTTATTCGACTAATAAGATAAATGCTCGAGTAGATAAGGTAGCACTGCAGTTTATGCTGAGGGGCATTGCTGTAACAACAATTTGACAAACCAAGGGTTGCAGTTCACGCTGAATAGTATTGTCGTTGCAATAGTTTATCAGGTTCCGTGCTAGAGATACTCTTGGAACACTTTAGTAAATCCTATCGGGTATCATAGGCATAGTGTACCTAGGTCATCCTATCCATAGAATAATTTCTCGTCGTAGAAAATCAAACCCAAGTGCTCCGTTAAAAGTCTTATTGTGTGAGGTTGCTAGTCATATTTCCATTTCTTGACAAATTTTAGCTTTAGAAACTTTTGTTTGTTTACTAGTGCTATTTTTCTAGCCACGAAAAAATTTATATGCTTCACTTCACATTTTTCTTGCCACGATAAACGTTTTCCATCTATTCATACCATTTGCCATTGTATTTTCCTTGTTATATCATTAGACTTAGATAGGATTAATTAGTGACCTATTCCTAGTTGTAGCAATCTTTTAAAAGCCTTCCAATCCCTGTGGAGACGATACTCACTCACTACTATATTACTTGCATCGATTGTGTATACTTGCAAAGGTTTGCATGCCACAACATTATATATTTACACACGATCAAGTTTTTGGTGTCGTCATCGGGGATTGGCAATTGGTGTTTTTACAAGTTTTGTTATAGCATTAACTCGTTTCTTTATTATTTTTTCTTTATGAATTTATTCGCTATTTTGTTTACCCTTTTCAAGTGTCGTGTTGTTGCATGACTTGTAGAAGTCCCAAGGAACCATTATCTCATTTTGAACCCGAGATAAAAAATTCTGTTAAAGAAGATGTGTTCAAGGAGCTCAAAGAACTATATATAATTTCAAAATGAGTGGAGGAACCTAAAGAATTAAATGTTGCGACAATAAAATGCAGGAATGTTGCAAGACCACAAACTATTAGAGATCACTTAGCTTCCACCTTGGACGACCTAAAACATGCTATTGTAGCTCCCGAGATTGAGGCAGCTCATATCGAACTCAAATCGGTGATGTTTTACATGTTGAACTCTATTGGGTAATTTGGTGGTATGCCTCATGAGGATGTAAGATAGTATATTCAAGCATTTTTGGATGTGTAGCTCATTTTGACAACAAGGCATGCATTAAGATATGTTGAAATTGAAGTTATTTCCATATTCTTTGAAAGATCACGACAAGGCATGGCTTAATAGAGTACCTTCCGGCTCGATAAGGTCCTGGGTAGACTTGTGCAAAAAATGTTGCCATGGTATAATCCACCCATATGAACGACCATATAAGGAATGTCATAGCATCTTTTTGCCAAGCGCTGAAGAGTATGTACGGTGTTGGGACCGATACAAAAGTTTCTTCGCAAGTGCACCAATCATGGATTCCACGAATGGACTCAAGTTGTGATGTTCTACAATGGAGTCAACGCCCCCGCTCGCATGATGCTGGATGCCTCAACGAATGGTACTCTGCTAGATAAATCACCTGATAAAGCCTTTGATATCCTTGATAGGATAGACAACAACGATTATCCATTCCTGTCTACAAGGCTTGGACTGAAAGAAAAGTTAGGGCATTTGAACTTGACGCCAAAGATTTAGTGTCTGCCCAATTTTCTTCCATAACAAATATGTTGAAAATTCACAGCGTTCAAGCAGGTGGAGGAAGTCAAGGTAACCAGCTTAACATGTATTTTGCCACGACAACCATTATGAAAGTGAATGCCCAAAAACCAGGGTCTATCAATTTCGTGGGAAATTTCAATAGAAGTAACAACAACCCCTACTCTCTACCTACAACCCTGGATGACGACATCATCCAAATTTTTCTTTGGGGAATCAAGGAGCCAATAATGCCAGCGGTCGAATCGGCAACAAATTTGATTGAACCCCTAGGTTTTCAAAAAAATATATCATGGCAAATATTTACAAAGGTTTAGCATATTCTTCAAATGCTAACTCCCTTGAAGCTTCTTTGCATGAATTTATGGCATCGACAAAGATTTCACAGCTTCAACTAAGGCTTCCTGCATGAACATCTTCATTAACTAAAAGCCAAGTCACACTGTTGTAAAGTCAAACAACCTTATTTCAAAGTAAAACTCATCTTTGAGAGCATTGGAGAACCAAGTTTACAAAGGTTTAGCATATTCTTCAAATGCTAACTCCCTTGAAGCTTCTTTGCATGAATTTATGGCATCGACAAAAGATTTCACAGCTTCAACTAAGGCCTTCCTGCATGAACATTCTTCATTAACTAAAAGCCAAGTCACACTGTTGTAAAGTCAAACAACCTTATTTCAAAGTAATAACTCATCTTTGAGAGCATTGGAGAACCAAGTGGGCCAAATCGCCACAACATTACATGCTCGCCCACAAGGAAGCCTCCATATTGATACTAAGGTCACCAAGCCTCACAAAAATGAACAATACAATGTGTTTACATTGAGGAATGGTACTCGACCCCATCATGAAGACAAGTTTGTGGGGAAGCAAGAAATATTCTCCGTGGCACTGTACTAGAAGAATTCGAATGTTAAACTAAACTTGTTGTACAAAGAGATTGCCTATGGAGAAGGATAAGGACGAGGGTTCAACCAGTCTCTCTACTGATAGAGGAATTTTTTGCCACAAAAAAAGTTTCACCCCCACCTATAACAGGTGAAGGCAGACCCCCATCACCTTTCCCTCAAAGGTTGAAGAGGCAAAACGAAGGGATCATATTCCACTACGATTCAACTTCATGTAGAGAGCACTTTAAATGAGAAAGGACTACTGCAAAGGTCCTACTATTCAGATGTGTAAGACACAAAATGCCAGAGCAAAATTTTGAAGGTGAAACTATTATAAGTGTGGGGAATTTTGGTCTATATTGGTGCTCCGATCAAACGCGACAAAACTGCCATATCAATTCAGAATGTTTTGGAGTTTGCATCCCTTCAACCCTCTTTAATTTTTATAATGGAAAAATTATTATATTATTATTATTATTTGTTGTATGTTTTTTTTCTTTGCTTTATTTTTATTACCTTTAATATTAGTTTTTTTAGAAGAATAGATTTCCAAACATGTGGACAAGGGTAAAGCCCCTATGGTTGATGTACTTATTTAGAAAGAAGACTCAATTGGTGTTGGCACAACGATGACATTGCTAATGATGTCCACCCATTTGCACAAATGCCACGATAAATTGCAACACTTATGGCCAAGCATCGCCTAAAGAGGAAAACCAATCACATTTGGACTTTTCCACCTAAAGAATCTGATCAAAACAACCCCACCACCATCAAAATTGATGTTAATCAAGGTACCTTGCATTGCATTTCATCTTTATTTTAGTTTTCATGCATTGAGGAAAATGCATCCCTCAGTTTGGGGAGACATTGTTCATACTTAGTCATTGCATTGATAATGTTTAGTATATTTTTATTATTATTATGGTATTAGTTAGGATCAGGTTAGTTACTTGGAATAAGTTGATGATGTCTGGTGATGATAAAAACATTTGTCATGGCTATCAATTATTGTACATGATTGTTGATGAGGATAGAACCAACCTTATGACTTGATTTTTTGTGACTCTTTGAACATGGTTGTATGTTTCTATGCTTAAAGAAATTAGAAATTTTTATGAAAGAACTTTTAGGCGTCGTGGCATAAAATTTGGTAATGAACTAAAATGCTATATCAATGTTGAAAGGCTAAGTTAAACTCCTTAATGTTTTGAATTCTGATGACTTGTGAATAAGTGCCTCGGCATAACTATAGAGGGACACTACTCTGCGACATTACTTATAAACCCCTTGAATAAATGGTAGCCTTAGCACATGAGTGAAAGAAAGTTGTCATGAGATGACTCTACCTGACTAGCTCGGAGGTGGAAGTTATGCTCACTTTCACCTAGAGTGTGAGAAGGTAGGTGTGATGGGCTGAATCCCCTCGTATCAGTGTTAAAAAATAAAAAAAAGAAAGAAAAAAAGAACAAATCTTTGAAATTAAGTATGAATAAATAGGAGTGACAATATGCTTAATGAATAATCTTATGCCTTGGCAAAACAAAAGAACTTACTCAGGAGCTTTCTAAATTCGTTAAGCATAGACCATATACAATCACCCACACACGTTGACAATTGATCCTAGCCTGGGGAAAGGTACTCGACTTCTCAGTTAGTCTATCATGTTAAGGCCATCCCTTTATAGCATATAATAATATAAAATATATCCCTTTATAATAATAATACTGATTCATATCCATAGTTAAATAGAGTAAAACAATT